TATTCTAGGTATTTAGGCGCTTCTCTATCGGTCTTATGGTTGGAGCCCAAACCTACAGGGTTGTGATGTTCAGCCGTTTAAGTTGCCTTCAGCCTAAGTATTTGGCCACTCTTGGTCACTTAAAGTCGTTTGAGGTGATAGTGGTATTTTCTCACAATGAAATCGGTAGGCCTCCCAATGCCAAGCTTTCCAGTGGGTTCTCTCCTCCATGGCATCGTGAGGCCAACTACTATATCATATATTTTGTTTATAAGTAGTGTTTCGAGACTACGAGATACATCAGCCAATTTCAGTTAAGGTGATGAATGGCTCGTAGCTGAATTTTCCCACGATTATATGAGTAGAGCTGACGTTTCCATTGAATTTAACATAACCTTGCTTTTCCAAAAGTTATTTTTAAAGGATGAAAGTACCTTTTGGGAAAGCAAGGAATAGCAATTCTGTGGAAACGCCAGCTCCACTCACTACCAGTCCTTCATCACATCAAACAAAATAAGGTGAATACATTTCATATCAATACTCTATCCGTCTTTAAAACGGGTAAAGTGGCATAGGGCGACTAAATTCTCATTTAAGAATTAGTGAGTGTTCCGAAATATACTTATTAAAAACAACTTAATTGTTTGCTCATGCAAAAAGGTAAATCTGGGGCAGTAATGTAAGAAAATTAAGAGATACAGACAGACAAATAGAGACAAAGCGACGCATAAGACAAAAGCGGTCTTAGTGAGGGATTTGCTCGCAAACAGTGGCGTAGACACAAGCGGCTTCAAATGGGAAGTCGAACTCATGGATTGGTGTGTATTCTCATGCCGGCCGACGATTCCACCATATGTTTTGGAACAAATTTAGAAATCACACTCCGACATTCATGATCAAGGCTTATTTGCTACTTGACTGCGTTTTGCAGTCTGTCAGGGCTCTGTTACCGGAAGTGGTGTTGGCGGCATCGAGGTGCTAACCAGCCCAATCTTTACAACCCAGCCCCGGTCATTCGCTTTATCCCCCATAGGCACACTTGCATTCAACCCAACAACAACCCAACAGACATGTGCTTCTGTGTGTCTCAGGCCGAACATGGCATGTGATACTAGCCTCTCAGCCCATCCTTTCAAGAATGAGTGCCTCTCGTTCGCAAGTTTTTTTGGCAAAAATGTAGCGAACGCGAGAGCAGATTCGTGACTTGCCTTAGCCTGAAGCAGGCCGAGTCTTGGGAATAGAGTACACGTGCTTGTCCGGTGACTTGCTATAGCGTCAGAAGGAATGTAATTGGAGACACATTCCATTTTTGTCTCCAAAAGTGCGACAACGGACATCAATAGGCATTTTCGTCTGTCCAAGGAAAAAATAAAATTAATATCACACGCTAGTTGGAGTGGATATCCAGCCTTTTTAAGTACCCTCTCAACAAGCTATGTTAGCCTGTCTGTAAGGTTTTGCTATTTGGAATCATGTTTTTGTATGAAAAATGTTATTTAAATGCAGCTCCAGCTGGTCAGAAATGAGACAGGAATAATGGATTCCCAGACTGCCTTATTATCCGGCGCTCAAGTCTTTATTTCGCGATCACTCCAACGTCTAGCATGCATGAAAGGGGACCTTTTGTTTCATCCAAAAAGTTGGCGAACGAGACGCAGCGAAAGGAATCGGAAATATGACGATCAAGATGGTTTGGCTACATGGTTGATCTTGTGACTTGCCTCATTGATGGATTGTAGCAAGACGCTTAGGAGGGTACTACTTACGGAGTATACTGATTGTTTACCTGGTCAATGATCCGATGTCTAAGAGATGCATGAAAATTCTGGAAGAAGAAGCAGTACGAACAGGCATTTCTCTCTGGAAGCACGAGTCTAAGCAAGAATCGTAACTAAGGGATTCTTCAGTAAGTAGAGTGCGTACCGCATTTTGGTGTATTTTCATGCCCAATGCCAAGTTTGCAAAAGAGCTCACCATCTTCCTTGTTCTCTTCCATTCGGAGTACGACCGATGATAC